TTTAAGGCATTTTTGAGGAAAGGAAGGACAGTGAAATTAGGATAACTGCATATATTTATTAATAACCATGTTAAACACTTGAGTTTTCCTTAGATATCTCTACAGAGCTACTTGTTACACATAGTGAGGGTTTGGCCATTAGTAAGCCTTTTATCTGTCATTTCATTTCTTTCTTGGGATTTTAGTAAAAAGACAGCAGGGTGAATTTGGGGGTTGTTCTGGTTACCTAGTACTGCTCTGACAGGAATATACCACAAATGGGATGGCCTTAACTAACAGGAGTTTATTCTCTCACAGTTGGGAGACTAGAAGTCCAAGTTCAAAGTGCCAGGCTCTAGGGGCTGGGTGAAAACCCCTCAGCCTTGGACTTCAGCTCTGCCTCCTGCTCCCAGCCCACTGGAGCTAGAGGTGTTTCTTCACTCAGACAGCTGCTGGTTGCTGAGGCTGACAAACCCAAGATTGACAATTAAAAAGGCACAGTCCCGATGTTACCAAACTACATGGCAGGCCATTAATTTAAGTCCGTTTTAAGTCCCAAGGTCAGCAGACCATGGCAGGCTGCTGAACAACAACACAGCTACATGCAGGGCCCAAGCATGCCATAAACTCGAGACCATTCCCCAAGGCTTCTCCTTATATACAGGAAGCAGACCACATTCCCTAAGGCAGCTACTCACAGTAGATTCCACCATAGAGTTGATTACCAGTCTCATCATGGGGAATACTATATCCAGCTGCCCAGCCACTCAACCATGCCCAGCCAAATTGACAGAAAAACATAACCACCACAGGGGTGATTCATTTTTTAAAAAATTATTTATTGTTATTATTATTAATGTTTATCTTGTCTGCCTTAGGGTTGTTCTCATGGTTCATTTATCTCATTACTTCAGCAAAATGCATTTTAAATATATTTTGGCACATAGAATGTCTTTGCTAAAGGAGACTCACTCAGCACAGTAATTTAATAATGCAGAAGTATTCATTTTCTTAAAAATACCTTCATAATGGGTACGGTCTTTTAAAAAACCAGCAATGCATAGACATACCTTAAAACTTCTTTTTTATTCTCTCTAGTTTAGACATCTTCTTTGAGGCTGTCCCAGGATCAGAATGGTGTTACGTGGGGCAGAAGAAAACCTACACATTTCCATTCTCCTTGCTTCTACCTTTCCCCTCTTCTTTGGCTTTCATATATTCTCTTCCTCCTTCTTCCCTTTTCACATTCTTATTTTGATTCTTTCTTGTCTTCTCCTTTTCTTCCTCTTCTTCATGTGTCTTTCTTTGGAGCTGTTATGGATTGGTTTGTGTCCTCCGAAATGTTGAAGTCCTAACCCCTGTACCCGTGAATGTAACCTTATTTGCACATATGGTCTTTGAAAGTGTTAAAATCAGATAATATAAAGTCATACCAGAGTAGCTTGAGCCCGAATCCTTTCTGAGTGGTGTCCTTATAAATGAGGAGAAGACAGACAGAGAAGGATGGTGGCCATGTGAAGATGCATCAGCAAGTCAAAGAATGCCTGGAGTTACCAGAAGTAAAGAGAAACAAGAAAAGATGTTCCCTCCCTTTGGAGGGAACACAGACTTGGTGATAATCTGAAGTTAGACTACTAGCCTCCAGAGGTATGAGACAGTAAATTTCTGTTGTTTAAAGTCATCTAGTTTGGCGCATTTTGATACAGGAGCTCTGGGAAACTAATGCAGCAGTTACAGAGAGTGGAATCTTCTGAGAGCCTCCCAGGGGACTTGTTTGGATTATGTCACTTCCTCCCCTTACCCACTTCATATCTACCACAAGTCATCTCCCAAGGGCTGTGAGAGTGCAAGTAAGACAAAAAGGAAAAACATGCCCCCTGTACTTTACTGCCATTCTGGCTCCTTTAGGCCTCAAAGAGCCAGGGAAACACTATCAGAGAAAGAAAAACTTCAGAACATAAAATACCAGGTTATTATGGAAAGAGCCAAGAAACAGAAGTACCCACTGCCATCAAGTCAATTCCAACTCATAGCGACACCAAAGGAAAGAACAGAACTTCCCCATAGGGTTTCTGTAAATCTTTAGGAAAGCAAACTGCCTCATCTTTCTCCCACAGAGTGGCTGGTGGTTCAAACTGCCAGCCTTTTGGTTAGCTGCCAAATGCTTTAACCACTACACCACTAAAGCTCCTTAGAAATAGAAGTAGAATGTTATTATCTTCCCTTCATTTCTCATATGCCTTCTAGTAGTTTCTTCATTGCTTGGAGTTTCAGTTTCCCCATAGACTTAGATTATACACAGCTCATATGAAATGACATTCAAGAAACTGCTTAGTAAACTGTAAACCCATTGCCTTCAAATCAATTGTGACCCCACGTGTTTCCAGGTAGGACTCTACTCTAGGGCTTTCAATGGCTGTAATCTTATGAAAGTAGATGCCAGGCCTTTCTTTCATGGCACCACTAACTGTATTTGAAACACCAACCTTTCAGTTAGCTGTTGTTGTTATGTGTCATCGAGTCAGACCTGACTCATAGTGACTCCTCCTTGGGTTTCCGAGGTGGTATCCCTACGGAAGTAGATTGCCCAACCGTCCTTTTAATGGCTAGTGGGTTTGAACCACCAGCCTTCTGGTTAGCAGTCAAGTGCCTTAGGCACTATGCTACCAGAGCTCCATTGCAGTTAATAGCCCACCCAAGGGCCTAGCAAACTGTGGAGTACCATATAAAGGTTGGCATTGTTATCATTCCATCACTCCTCAATAAGTTAGTAATATATATTGTCTGGTCCCTGCTTCTCCCTCTCTTCTCCTTCCCTGAAGATGGTTCAATTTAAGGAAGGCTTAAGTATACTAGGTTTGACTTGTAGTCACCCTTCCTTGGGTTTCTGAGGTGGTATCTCTATGGAAGTAGATTGCCCAGTCTTCCTTCTGAGGAGTGGCTGGTGAGTTTGAACCACCAGC